CATATGTAGTATCTTTTTTCTATGAGATAAAATTGTGTCACGTGCATGCACATTGGATGGAAAAGAAAATAGTTGGGCTTAACTGCAGACATATCCTTGTCACTCTTTTCTATAAAGAAAGAAACATGGTTGAGGGTAAATAACCACTGCATATTAACTGTTTAATCAGGTTCTCTCTAAGTGACAACACTCCTCTTTCTAGGTGACAAGGAGGATGCCGAGATATCTAAGAGGCTGTTTGGATTGTGGCAAAAATCTTGCCTTAGGTGTGGCTAGAACCAAACACCTATCTAACTTGGTCAAACTTGCCTAAGGTGAGGTGTGGCAAAGTGTGGCAGGGTATGGCTGGGAACCAAACAGCCCCTAACTCCTTCCCCCAGCCTGGTTCCCGCCCCCTTTGCTTTCCCCTTCGGCGGTGGGAAGTGGGAGAACCCCACTTTTTGCCTATCCATCATGTAGTTAGGGTTATGGTTTTTGGTATTGTGATGGCGTCATTTAGATGGTGGCGGTCATGTTGCAGTGAATAATGATGCTCTGACTTCAGCCCATGTCGATGAGGTGGTCGACATCGTCGAGGAGCCCGTGGCTCAGTATCATCATGGGGCATGTGCGGCAATGTTATGTCGTCTTGGTTTGATCATCGGCTTGTTGATCTCGCTATTGATACACTTGTATTTTACAGGTTGCCGCTTTTCGCCGGTGAGGCTAGCCCAATCGTCGGGGCAAATCGAGGCACTACCGCGACAGCTTCTTCCCCTATAGTGTAATTTGCGGTGGGTGACTACTGTAGCAACAACAATGAGAAGTATTCTGCTCAAGGTCTCAATGGGCGATATTGTTCATGATATTCTCTTGTTCATTCTTTCCTCCGGCGATGCCACGACTACCAAACAAGTGACACCGCATTCACTTCAAGATGGTTGTCTTGGGGCTTAGATGCATTTCTAAGTTTTCACAAGGTTTTCTGTAAAAATGGAGACAAATTTCCTAATTTAGAAGTTTCATTTGTACTCGCCTTTTAATATAACCCTCTACAATCTAAATATATATATTTGCGAGGAGCTTGCTTTTTCCTAAAAGTCAGAGAATGTTGCGAGCTATTAGATCTTCGTCTAATGGTTATCTTTTAACCATAAAGTCAGAAAGGAAAAATAGAGCAGACGCCCTCTACAAAATGGATAGAAACATTATGAAACTAGAGGACCACTATAACCATAAAAATATATACCAGAAATAATTTTTTAAACAGAATGTACAACCGCGATTGACTGTACGCATATGGGAATTAAGTTTTCAAAATTAAGGTACCCACGTGCAGAAAAGAAGAATGCTACTCCTGCAAATACACTGCTCTAGGGTCAGCTGGACCCATTAGAATGGTTGCTCCCGTGTTCATATAGGACTAGAAAATGAGGGTGATGCAGAATATTTTTAAAGTATTTTTTAGCGAATTTGAAGAAAGTGATGATTTTTTATTTCTTTTGAGAAATGTGATGATTTTTTTATTTCTTTTGAGAAATGTGATGATTTTAAATGTCAAGAAACGTGATGATGTGATAAGAGGAAGTCTTAATACATTTTTTCTGTACAGTACATGCACGGCCCATCCATTTGTAACTGGATGTGTGGATCGAGATATATTTAGCTATCCGGCCGCTTTCACTTGTACGTTGTTCGTCCCCTCAAACTTGTACATTGTTCCGTGATTCTGAAAAGGAAAAATCTTGTAGGTTGTTTGCCCCCTAAAAAAACGTGTATGTTGCTCGTTGTACAACGAACAAAATAAAATAAACCGAGTGTTATATATTCATATAGTACTCCTTCCGTTTCTAAGTATAAGCCCTTTTACAGATTTCAATACGGACTACATATGGATGTATATATAGACATATTTTAGAGTGTAGATTTACTCATTTT